AGTAGCACCCTTTTATCAAACGAGTACTAGGGTTGAATTGCATATTGTAAAATCTATGTATTTTTGATTAACTCTTGCAATTCAGGGTGGAACAAATTTTTTAGTCCCAGCTTCATGGCAGAAGAAAAGATTTTCAATGGTACATCTGTGCAGAGGTAAATGTGCTAATGAAAGTAAACTAATACATAGTCATTACTAAAACTACAGGAGGAATGTACCACCTCATGTTGAATGATACATAAGACATTGGTAACTGCATTACATGGACTTCATTTTTTTTTTTTGATGCAATGTACATCAACTTAAAACACAAAATAAATTAAAGATCCTGGCTAAGGGATTAGTAATGAAAAGTAGTAACATAATTAGTAGGCATAACTAGCAATTGCGTGTCCTAGCAGCAATCAGTCGTCGTCCAATCCAAAATCATGGTACCCTTCCCACGCATCCACGTAGGGGTCATTGTAATCAGGCGCATGTCCGTCCCAAAACTCTCCGGAATCCGGATTGACCTTGTTGTCGTACCGTTGCTTCGCCGCGTTCAACCTATTGACATACCACTGTTGTTAGTCGTCATAGACAAAGGGCTCCGTAGTAATGAGATCAAGGTGTTGCATCTCATCATACCCATTTTTAACCAACATCTTGCTCCTAAAGTACATGCATTGCTCCTCAATAGAGTGGATGATATCATAAGGATCCTCGTGAGAGAAATTCATCCACTCTACAGTGACATGAACCACGTCTTTGTCATAGTCGGACGTGAAATCATGGCCAAGTAGTAGAAGGCAGAATGTCTCACCTTCCTTACAATGGTTGTTGAGCATGTACTCAACATTTGCAGCCCAATCATAGTGGGACATAAACAGCTCCCAAAACCAAAGCCAATGGCGACAATACTATGAGGATCGCATACAATCTATCATTGTTTCATAGAATTCTTGGAGGTTGACACTAATCCCAATCTTGTGCGAATCCACTAGATAGTGCATGAAACAATATGCCTCTTTGCGAAAGTGTGCAGGACCTCCTATCTTGAATGGCGTTAGGAATGGGTACTCGGGATGAAAATCTATCCCAGTTATAGGATTTTCAAGCCCACCACGAGCTATAGTCGCCGATTGGTGTGAAAACATCATCTCTCTACCTCTTTTAGGTAGGTAGAAGTCTCGAACGACACCATTTGGATCATGAAATCCATTTTTTCATAAACTCCAACCGCTTCATAAGTCCCTTTGGTGTCTTTTGAGAAACCACTTTGTTTTCATCACTCACCTTCTTTTTAGCCACTACCCGCTTGCTCCTATTTCCCCCCATGATTTTTTTTAACAAGAACTAGTGTATATACTCAAAAACAAAGGCATGTTTGAACTAAATAGTCCTGTGTCAACGGTTGAAATACTATAAAGCAACAATAAATGATCTCCCAACTACTTTGTTAATTAAATCATTTTCTTTGCTTCGCAGTAAATGAAGGAATACACCACTACGCTAAAAAAAAAGAATACATTGGTATAAGTACTACTATATTCGAATATGATAATGTACCACTGGAATCTACCCACTCACCGCGCTGTTATTCGTTCACTAATACAAAGGGGTAACTCTCAAAGAGTTAGTTGGATAATAACTGCAAATAATAACTCCTTTTAATGCTGTAATTGTAGTGCCAAAGTCAAGTCCCAAAAGATTGTAAAAAATAATTTTACAGTGGTACTTAAAACTCCCAGTGTTGTATAAAATGTCAAGGATGGTTCATTGTGTAACATTCGCATAGTACTTGTGTTTGTTATGACAAGACAGCTATGTCCCCTACTACTTATAGAGTGAGTTCGTAGGGGTGGGTAAAAAGTTGGCTTTAATTCGAGAACACATTTAATAATTCAGTGGTGTGTACCATTCAAAATAAAATTTCACCAAAAACCATTCCAGTATAACTTTGGCACTTGTAATGTACCATTAGAAACAGATAACTACCAATAGCATAAATGTTCTACCGGTGATATTTTTAATGTAATAAAAACGTAAATAATCTACCATCGTTATTTACAATGAAATAAATTCGTTAATAATCTACCTTTGGTCATGGAAATATACTAAAACCATCCAAGAATTAACCAACAGATACATTTTGTACCAACAGCATTTCATGTCTCCCGCCGCCAATGTAAATGTACCACTTTCAATCTAGTTGCACCTATGGTAATCAACGTATGGTTTACATTGTACCAGTTAACAAAATCATTACCAATGTCAAGTAACTTGGTCACTTATATAAACCTATGTTATCAGTTGCCAAATACTCAGCATGTATACACCAAATACAGGAAATGTGCACTAACTATCCATCAGACCACCCAAAATAATTACACCATCATAATTTTAACAAATCAAAAACATTAAATTATCATTGTCACTGATTCCGCGTTGGCATCCTACAAGCTGCAGTCAACTCCCCCAAGCCCTCTTTAAGGTCGTTGCATTCACACTACACGTCGTCCAGAAACAAATTCTCCTGAGCGGGCGAGATCTTCCCCTGTATTGTATGATCTCACCCAATAAATATCTTTTTCACAATACTTCATAAAAACACAACTATATAACACTACATGACTTACCACACCAAACCTAGTTGTGAATCTTCTGGCAAAGAACTTGATACATGCCAGCATAAAACTCCACAGAATGTGCTGCACCATTGGAGGACCAAAATCAACACACAAAACAACCACAACTCTTACACTATTGACCGAATAATTACATAAGTGCTTACTTATCCCGGGGCTCTAGGACCTCAACAGTGCATCTTGTCCATGATTTGAGCTCACCTGTTGTCCACTGGGGATCATAAATTTTAAAAAGAACGTCGAGACCACTAACCTGTACATTAATAAAACGACTTAGATTTAGCCATTACTGTACAATAAAAAAGCAAGCACAATATTCATGACACACTCTATATTAATGTACCAGAAGATCCAACACTTGAGCATGTGTGCTGAATGGATCAGGGTACATAGAATCTATCATCCATAACTTCTGTCCCTTCATATCTACACCCAAGCACCACCAATGAGACTCGTCCGGGGAATCCTCGGGAACTTCCAGCACAGGGATGAACACCTAATACGAAGTGAATGCCATAACCAAGTTTAGAGTAATTACATGAAATTAAGTTAAAGCAGCAGAATCAGTACGTAACTTACCAATCGAATCTCCGATAGCTTATAGCTAAGAAGAAGTTTGCAGTACTTGTCAGCAATATGTTCTTCTTTTCCTTCATTCAACAATAATCGATTCTAAAAATTTTAACAAATAACCGTTAACAGCGGATTCATGAGTACTTGCTGCAATGCATCACTAACAAGAGAACGACCTATACAAAAACACGTACCGAAAAGCTTGGATCAAGCATAATACGTAGAAACCTACGATTTATAGTGCACTAATTCATAGCAATCTCTCTGGCTTGCTTCTTGGTGATCACATTTTATCAACACAACACCAGGGCTAAGAACCACCATCATACCATAAATTAAACAGATAATTTGATTAGAATTTTTAAATATCAACTCCGAATAAAAAATTGAACATGAACTATAAAATTTGGTACATCAATAAGGGGTAGTCAATTACCTAACTGGATCCTTCAGGTGCTTCCACCGCTTAACAAACTGGATCAATCGTGCCTCGGGTGATGTATGCCTTCTAGTCTTTGAGGCATGGCTGAACAAGGCTGCCTGTGTAGGCTTCACCACCCTCTTATCACCACTTTTCTCCCCAATCCCATTACAATCATCTTCCTCATCATATGATGAAGAATAGCTTGCCAAAATACACTGAGCAACAACCAAAACAGTTGTTCCCCTCGTTCCTAACAACCCCACAACTATTTGCGGTACAGGCTCTATGTAATCACTTTTGTCATCCTCCAATTCCGCATCGGAAGCGCTTTGAAACTCTGGCCCGCCTTTATCAACCTTTGCCCCTATTTCAGCCTCTATGGCTCCTTCCCCAACAACACCCTACATGGCTACTGCCCCAAAATCGCCCTTTTTGGCTCCTGACCCAACATCACCCCCCTCGGCTTCTGCCCAAACCTCCTCACAAGAAGGCCCTCCTTCATTTTTCCTGGATCGATGAATGATATAGATCCAATCACAGTATCCAGATCATCATCACCTGAAACTAATTCATCATCATTTTCTTCCAACCCCTTCACATTCAAAGAAATATCTACAACCTCCTCGCCCGATGCAACTTTGTGTGTCAAAGATTTATCCAACCCCTCATTTCCAGCCACATTCTCCTCACCAACTTCTGTTACTTGCCTAACAACTTCCTTAGGCCTGTTTGATTTCCTTGAGGCTTTTGATCGATCAATACCCATAGACATCATCCCATAGAAATTTTGAAGTAACTCATCAACCTTGCTATCTATAACAACCAATAGCTTTGGAGTTACCTTGTCCATGACCTAACAAGGAACACAGTAAAAACAAAAGAACCTCAAACTTTGCATTCACATATACAAAATTAACAACTCGTTTACAAAAAAATTTAAACATAAGCATTAGTAAGTTGTACCTGCTGAGCAACCTGATCCAAATAACAACTATCTGAAGGGACATCCCGATAGTCCATTGGATGTCTTTCTCCATAAGCAACATCCATCGACTACAAAAAAAACCCCAGAATTTTAACACTCATGACTTAACTTGAATCTGGAATATTAAACCCAAATAATACAAAAGGAAATAACTCATCGGGAGCCGTCCATAGTCCCCCTTTCGTTTTTTGTCGTCAGCAACAACTGCATTAATTTTTTGCTGAGACCAAGCCTTCAACCTTGGTCTCATACCCCATGACTTAGGAACACGACTAAGGTGATCAAGATAATAAATCTGTAAAGTAGATAACAAAAAAAAAAATTCAATCTATCCAAGACAACACACTCACAACACACTGCTAAGGGTTCGACCCTTTCTTTTGTGGCTCCTATGGTGAAAGATGGCAAATCTATTGCAATGTTACAACAAGCCGAAATTACCGAAGGTAATCTTAACTGGAAGAATTATGTAATTTTCTATGTCATAGGCTATTATCCTACTATAGTTGTTGTCCATAGATACATTGCTTAAAATTGGAATGTTGTAGCTAAACCCGATGTTTTTTGGCATGATGATGGATACTTTCTGATTAAATTCCAAAACTCTGATGATATGAATGTTGTTCTTAATGCTAGTCCACACATGTTCTTTGGTAAGGCGGCTATTGTTAAGCCTTGGTCTGAGAAATTTGACTTTCATGCTGAGGTTTTGAGAAATGTTCCTATGTGGGTGAAATTACCTAACTTACCTTTGAATTGTTGGGGTGTGGACACCCTGAGCAGACTGGGAAGTGTCTTAGGAGTACCTTTATGTGCTGATGAGTGTACTTCAAAGCAGTTGAGGGTTTCATTTGCTAGGTTTCTCATTGAAGTTGATGTCACTAAGACTTTACCCAAGAATATCTGGTTTGAAAGCCCAGATGGTGCTTTGATTGAACAAAAAGTTGTTTTTGAGTGGGCACCCCCCTTTTGTAGCAAATGTAACAAAGTAGGCCATGACTGTGCTAGGAAGGTGCAGCCTCAAAAGAAGCAGGTGTCTTCTAAGGAGAAGCCTACGCAAAAGGTGTGGGTTGTTAAGCCCCAACCTGCTACTGTTCCTGCACCTGGGCTTAGTGTGCCTGAGTCTGGGGGTAATGGTTCTATGCATAATGCTGGTGTGTTCACTCCTGCTCTAACTACTATGCAAGCTACTTCTGATGATGATTGGAGAATGGTGGGAAGGAAGCAAAGAAGTCATAGTAATCCTCCTGTCTTTACTAATGTTCCTCATTCTAACACTTATGCTGCCTTGCTTAAGGAGGGAGGTGATGGCTAGAGAACTTGTTCCTACCGGGGGTGATGGTAATCCCCCTCTGGGGTCATGATTGTCCTATCATGGAACATTAGGGGTCTAAATGACCCCTGCAAAGTAGTTTCTCTTAAGAAACTCCTAGCTGAACAATGTGTGGATGTTGTTGGTATTATGGAAACTAAAGTGAAGTGTGATAAGAGTGTTGAGCTTCAGAAGAAATTTGGATCTTCTTGGTCTTGGTTTTGTAACTACTCATCTTCTCATAGGGGTAGACTCTGGGTTGGCTGGTCTCATGACAAGGTTAATCTTTCAGTCATTTCCTCTCATGAGAAGTTCATTCATGTCCAGATTAGCTCCAAGGATCTTCATCATCAGATATTTTGTACCTTTGTGTATGGCTTACACTCTATTCATTATAGGTTACCTCTTTGGGATGGTATTTCTAGTATTGGAGCTGTTTCTGGGCCTTGGCTTGTTATTGGTGACTTTAATTTTGTTCTCAATTCTTATGATAGAGTTAATGGTAATGTTATCACTGATTATGAGGTCAATCATTTTAGAAGTTTTGTTGATAACCTTGATCTTTGTGAGCTTAAGAGTAACGGTTCTTTTTACTCTTGGTCTAATAAGGGTCATGTTGATGGTAGAATTGCTACAAGGATTGATAGGGGGCTTGTGAATCAGGCTTGGTTGAGCAAGTTTCCCCATGTTGAATCTATCTATCTTCCTCCTTTCCTTTCTGACCACAACCCTCTCTTGGTTGAAGTGAGTAGGTTTGCTGCTACTAAAGGGAGACCTTTTAGGTTTCTTAATTGTCTGGCTGATCATGCTGATTTCTGTTCCATTGTGGAAAAAAGCTGGCATAGTGTTACAGGTTGTTCGACTATGGTTACTATTTGGCAGAATCTGAAATCTGTCAAAAAGAATCTGAAAGATCTGAACACTAAGTATTTTGCTAATGTTGATGAGAAAGTGGATGCGGCTCTTACCTCTTTGAAAGCCATTCGGACCAGCTTGCTGTAGATTATTCTAATTCTGACCTTCATGCTAAAGAGGTTGAAGCTGTTTCTATGGTGAAGCATTGGATGAATATCCAAGAGTCCATTTATAAGCAGAAATCCAGGGTTGATTGGATTAAGCTTGGGGATTCCAATTCTCACTACTTCTTTTCTGTTGTGAAGCACAGACAAGGTAGAAATAGAATTGATTCTATTTTTACTGAAGATGATGTCCTTTTGAAAGATCCTGATCTTATTGAAAATGAGATTGTGGGATTCTATAAAGGGCTCCTTGGTTCTAGTGCTAGCTCTCTCCCTGCTGTTAATTTAGCCACTATTAGGAGAGGTTCTTAACTCAGCTCTAATTCTATTGATATTTTGACTTCTGTGGTTACTACTTCTGAGATTGATAGTGCTCTAGCTTAGATTGGTGATGATAAGGCGCCTGGAATTGATGGCTTTAATGCTGTTTTCTTCAAAAAGTCTTGGCCTATGATCAAAACTGATATTTATACTGCTATCTTCTCTTTCTTTGAGACTGGTGTCATTGCTAAGCAGTGGAATTATACAACAATCACCTTAGTGCCTAAGGTTCAGCATCCTTCTTATGTCAGAGAGTTTAGGCCTATTTCTTGTTGTACCATGTTGTACAAGCTGATCTCCAAAGTTCTCACAAACAGGATTGCTAAAGTGGTGGGGACTGTTATTGATGATGCTCAAGCTGGGTTTATCCCGGGTAAGCACATTGGTGACAATATTCTCCTGGCTAGTGAATTGATTAAAGGCTACTCTCATAAGTTTGTTTCTCCCAGATGTATGATCAAGATTGACTTGAGAAAGGCCTATGACTCTGTTGAATGGCCTTTTCTGCAGACTGTTCTAGAAGAGTTTGGTTTCCCTCATTCTGTTGTGAAATGGATTATGACTTGTGTCTGCTCTGTCTCTTACTCTGTGATGGTTAATGGCTTTCCTGATAAACCTTTTTCTGCAAAAAAAGGCCTTAGTCAAGGAGATCCTATGTCTCCTTTTCTTTTTGCTCTTTGTATGGAGTACCTCTCTAGGTGCCTTAAGGAAATGACTGGGAATCCTAATTTCAATTTTCATCCTACATGTGAGAAGTTAGGTATTACCCATATGATGTTTGCTGATGATCTTCTCCTCTTTTCTAGGGCTGATTCCACCTCTATTCAGCTTCTCTTACAGGCTTTCTAAAAATTCTCTTGTGCTTCTGGTCTTGTGGCTAATTTAAGTAAGAGTGAGGTTTATTTTGGAGGTATCTCTGATTCTGATAAAGATCAGCTGCAAACTGTTCTTGGTATGAGTAGAGGTAGTTTGCCTTTTAGATATCTTGGGGTGCCCTTGTCTTCTAAAAAGCTTACTATTGCTTAGTGTAGGCCTTTGGTTGAAAGGGTTACTGCTAGGATTGATTGCTTGACTTCTAGACACTTGTCTTATGCTGGCAGGTTACAGCTTATCAAAAGTGTTCTTTTTGGTATTCAGGCTTATTGGGCTCAGATTTTCATCCTTCCTAAGAAGATTCTTAGGGAAATTGAAGCCAAGTTCAGGGTTTTCTTGTGGACTGGGAAGAACACTTATACAAAAAAGGCCCCTGTCTCCTGGCATCGTATGACTCTTCCTAAGGTTTGTGGTGGCTGGAATATTACCTCTCTTGGTGATTGGAATAAAGCTGCTATTTGCAAGATTTTGTGGGATCTTGCTCACAAATCTGACAATATGTGGGTGAAATGGGTGCATACCTATTATTTCAACAATAGGAATATTTGGACTGCCACTATTCCCAAGAAATGCTCATGGGTTTTGAAGAAAATCTTGACTTGCAAAGATATTATTGATGATATTGGTGGCTGGTCCTCTATTGTGAAAAATGGGAAAATGAGTATTGCTAAACTCTATGCCCGGATCCAACCTCAGGCTCCTACAGTAGAGTGGAAAAGAAGTGTTTTCAATAACCAAGCCGCTCCTAAGAGTATTTTCATTACTTGGTTAGCTTTGCTTGATAAACTTGCCACTAAGGATAGAATTTTTAAGTGGAATACAAGTTGTGATCCTATTTGCTTTTTCTGCCAGAACACTTGTGAATTCGTCTCTCACCTATTCTTTTGCTGCCCTTACTCTAAGACTATTTGGGAACAGATTTTGAAACTTCTTGATGTGAAAAAAGCAGTTCAACCTTTTCGCATTGAACAGCAATAGATAGTTAAGAATTGCAGGAAGTCTAGCAGCAAGGGTAGAGTTTACTCTATGTGTTTTGCTGAGGCTATCTACAGTATATGGCTGCAGAGGAATAGTTTGATGTTTACGGGTGACTATAAACCTGCAGATACTGTCTTTTGTGACATTATTTATCATGTTGCTATTAGGTGTAAAGGAATATACAGGAATTTGCTTTTGCCTCACTGACTTAATGTTGCAGCTGTCTATTTTTTTGTATGTTTTGGTTGGGTGGTAGCTGGTTTGCAGCCTGGTTTTGGTTGTTTTGGCAGTTGGTTTATTGGGCTGCTGGTGCTGCCCTGTTGTTTATCTGCGTTGCTGTGCTTGCTTGCTGCTGCTGTTATCTGTGTGTTGCTGCTGCTTGCTGTTGATGTTTCTGTTATGTGCAGCTTCTTGCTGCTGCTGTTGTCTGCTTCAGCTGTTGTGTCTCTGCTGTTTGCTGTTGTTGTTTCTGTTATGTGCAGCTGCTTGCTGATGTTGTTGTCTGCTTCAGCTGATGTGTCTGTGTTGCTGCTGCATGCTGTTGCTGTATGTTCTGTGCAGTTGCTGCTGCTGTTTTCTGCAGGTCTGCTCTGTTCTGGTTTTGTTGTTGTGCTGCTGTTTCTTCTGTGTGCTGTTTTTGTATGTTGATGTAGTGATGTGCTGGTTGTGTTGCTATTGCAGTTGTTTGCAGTTGCTGTTCTGGTTTCTGCTAGGCTGTTGTTTGGTTTGGTTGCTGCTATTTGGCAGGTGGTGCAGTCTTTGGTTCTCTGGTTGCTTGCTCTTGGTGGCAGCTGGTCTGGTGCTTGCTAGGTGCTGTTGTTCTGGGTTTGGCAGAGGTTTCAAGCTTGCAGTTTTCTTGTAGATGCCTTGTCTTTATTAGATTTCCTTTGTTTATTTAGGCTTTTGTTGTTTTGGTGGTTTTTAAGTTGTTTGCTTTGTAGTTTGTTGCTTGTGTTGTTGTCAGGTCCTGGTTTCCAGAACCCTTCCTAGAAGGTGGCTGGAAATCTGAGTCCAGTTTGTTCTAGGCCCTTCCTAGAAGGTGGCTAGGTAGGATCTAGAACTGGTTTTGGGGGGGTTGGCCTGTTATACAGGTCTTGTGGTGTTCTGGTGGTAGTTATAACTTAGCTCTAATAAGTTGTAACTTTCTCTCTTTGGTAATAAAATCTTATTTACCAAAAAAAAAAAAAAATCAGACATTACTTACCAATACGAACAAAATGCATCCGCCTAATCCAGCAACATATCCATCCTCAACAAATTTCTTCTGGAAATTCCTTGGAGCATTACACATCCACATATACACAAAAGTGCACTTGTCATACTATGATGTTTCATCATATACAAGTAAAGTTGGATACAGCTTCACTCCCAAATTTTTTGTGTTTGTCGTAGCACACAACAAGTAACTTAAAACCACAATAAGAAAAGCAACCTTGAAATTAGGCTTCTCTGCATCTGACAGAGGCACCACATACCCAGCTTTATCCCTAACAATCAATGAACCCAACGCATTGGCAAGAGAAACGCTTTCTCCCTTGGCAAGCAGCCCCCTTAATCTCCTCGACTCCGCCTGCTTCACCGAATCATCCTCAGGAATAGTAGTAGGGACTGCCTTGGACCCCATTGGAATCCCAAGTACACATTGGATTGAAACAGGACTCAGGGGATGCACATAGTTATCTCCAAATGCTATGGAACCATCAGCCAATACCCTTGTCAACGACTAATATGAAAATTTACGGGGCAAAGTCGTCAGCGGAATGCTTAACAAACCTCCAAAACCCATCTCCGTCACAACCTTCTGCCTAGATGAATCAAAAAACTTCACCACAGTTGCAAAAGCCTTCACACCATTCAGGTTCGGGGCCTACACCGGTAAGAAAAAATAATAAGTGATGCTCATCCATTAACCACACTCCGTCACAAGTCACAAATTTTTACATTGACTAATTTAGACCCCAATCAACCATATTAGAATAAACCTAAACCTACTAGTTACATCGCACACAACTAGGATAATACCTTATGCGTTCTACGTGATTGGGTTTTAATCACGACCCCTTTCTCGACCACCATCTCTCCCTTGCTCTCTCCCTTGCTCTTCTTTACCTGCCCATAACACAACATTACAAACATTTAATCCTCGATATACTCAATGTCACTATTGCAAGCTGAACTTATAAGGAAAAAGATAGCCATACCTTTTGCTTCTGCTTCCCTTTTCTTTTACCAGAAGGACCTTCCTTCTGTTTTCCACTTGATATTTTGTCTGACAACAACTTCGCAAGCAAATTCTCCAACAACTCTTTTTTTAATCATCCTCCTCTGCCTCATCTGACTCAGGCTGCTCATCATCCCCTGAGTCAGAACCAGACTCACCTGAGGTACCATCACCACTTTCTTCTTCAGTATCCTCATCCTCAATATATCTTCTAATTCCTCTTGCTCAAAATCAGGATCAGCCTTCAGCTTCTTCTTCCCTTTCGCAATATTTTTCTTTTTAGATATCTCATCACCATCATGTTTTCCTGGTTTTCCCTTCACCATATCAGATCCATGCTTCCGCTTCATTTATTTGAAACCTACATTGTCCTCATAAACAAGATTAATGAACTTCTTTTTAACCAAACCAACCTAAACAATTCAACAAGCTAAACATATACTATATCTAGAGTCAAATAATACATGCAAAAATCAGTCACTATTTTTTTAACTTACTCAATCTTTCATTTTCACAAAGTATACAAAAACTTATGCTAGTATGCACCCAATATAATGATTTCAATTACAAGGAGTATTCTTATAATGAAACAATATACTAATCTCCTTCCAAGACAAAACTTTTCACAAAACCTAATTGCCAAAATCTTAGGATATTTTACCAAACTCTCATACTTGTTTTGTCTTAGTAAAGTGAATTATTTTAGAATCAATCACTATATAGAACAAATACCCACCACCATCAATGAAATTCCAAAAACAATCAACTTAACCAATTACAGAATCATAGCATATACTATATCCAAATTCAATTCTGATTACATGTGAACCATTAAATCAATGAGTAATTCCATTACTTACTACAATCTATGATTTTCACTTATCCATTAAATCAAGCATGCACACAATAAAATGGTTACAATTACAGGGACTTTTCATGTTATTAAACAATATCCAATCCTCACCAAAACAAAAATTTCATATGTTTAACAAAGCACAAAATTTTCACATTCCAACGAAGATACACTGATAATACATCAGCCCAACATATGTATATCACACAATCACTACCCACAATTGCATAAACTCAGTACTTTCAAGTCGCCCAATACCCTAACTCCAAAACACAAGCCGACTTAAATAATTCAATCAATTAATTCATGTCGCACATTACCTTACTTTCAATATAAAACCAAATTTCAGCAACACAACCACGCACAAATACATGATTTCAAAAAAATTAACATAAACCCTAAATCGAATCAATTAAACTTCACCGTAACCCTAATTAACTATTACCTCGGAATTTGATAAAATTTCTACCAAATTAAACACTCAAATTACATCTACAAAATAATCCTTCGTCATTCAAGGAATAAAATTTTTCACATACCTTGTAGAAGATCAACGCAATTTAATTATGACTTGGGAAATTCTTTGTCCGAAACAACCAAACTACGCTACGCCGGTAAATTTTGCCACACAACCCCCTACGCTCACCCTTCGTCGGAGTGGAGAAGATGAGAAGACAGAGGGAGTAGAAGTGAAAACCGAGTGAAGAGAGAGGGGAGATGAAAATGAGAGTTGAAGAGAGAGAAAAAACTATTTGACTTACCTTTGAAATTTTGCGAAGATCGAGGCCCATTACAATTCAAAATCAAACAGTCACGTGCAACTCATGTGTTTTTTTATTCCACCAAAAATGACATAATTTCTCTTTTGCCCTCCTATATGCATAGCATGCATATAGCTGCTATGCGCTCAGACCGACTCATATAATTTAGAAACTAGGAACAACTTCTTAGTTGAGTGATGAGGCATAGACTACAGCAAAACAAGCACAAACTTCCAAGCGTAACAAACAAAATTGGTACTTGATAATGTGACATGCCAACGCATACTGTGGAACAACATATTACTATAAACTTTATTTTTATTGTAATATTAGGTTCCGTAACTCTTATCACAAAAACATCAATAAGATAGCCGTTTTTACTACGTAAATGATACAATCACGGCTAGATTTAGCATATTTAAAGATCTCCTAATGAGTAAGGTCCTGTTCACTTCACCTTACTTTTGCTGAAATATAATTATTTTTATTGAAACAAAATTATATCTGCTGAACTTAAATTATATTTACTGATTTGAAATTATTTTTACTGATATTCTATTATAATTCTGCTTTAAGATAACTGAATTTTGCTAAAATGGACTTATTTTTACCGAATTGAAAATATTTTTATTGAACTGAAAGTAATTTTATTGAACTGAACTTATTTTTACTGAACTGAACTTATTTTACTTAATATTATTCCTTTTAAGGTGAAGTGAACAAGGCTTAAATGAATTAACAAATTGTTTATATGTAAACCAAATGTACAAAACAAAATGTATTAATATAAACTTTTGTTGGATTTAGGCCTGTTCTCTTACGTTGAAATTCAGTTCAGTTCAGTTCAGTTCAACTCAGTTTAGTTCAGTTCAGTTCAAATCAATTCAGTTTAGCTCAGTTCAGTTCAGTTCAGTTCAGATCCTAATTTCCTTCTCTTATAAAACATTTATTTCATTTCAGTTCAGTTCAACTCCGTTCAGTTCAGTTCAGCTCCGATCAGTTCAGTTCAGTTAAGTTCAGCTAAGTTCAGTCAATGAGAACAGGCCCTTAGTGACAATTTATATTTTCAAAATCTCATAATCCATATTTTATAAGTTAACTAACAAACTTAAAGATAAGTTTAACCATTAATATATTTTTTTCTAGGTAAAAAAAATAAAAATAT